AATGCAATAGGAGAAATCAGCAAAAAAAATGGTCATTTAAATTGAATTCATCTACCAAAACAGTGTGAGAGCCATGAAAAATGACATGGGTCAGAAAACTCTGCAGGAGTCTGACAAACTGCCACGATGAACGGGAATTGAACTTCGTCTCTTGATTCCAAATACATGATCCATCACAATCCTGTCTGTCATCCAGAAAGGTCAAGAGTCTCTGTTCAGTTGTTAATTTTCTACCCCTCTTGGCTTCTAACAGGAGTTACTTAAATTGATGCTGTGTTTACCCAGGCACAAATGATAACCATCAAAATATCTTCGTTCTGATAGGCACATGTATGTGGTATGGAAGGCTAATTTGCTGGAAGTAAAGCTGTATATAAAAGCTAACATTTAATAAAGTTCTCTTAGCTACTCACAGACTATTAATACTTTGTGAGCTTCAAGGAAAGTGCAATCAAAAAATTAACAAAATGGGCTCAACTCAGGAAGGAACAAAACGCTCATAATGCAAAAACTAAGTAAGTTGTCGTAAGATATAAAAAAAACCTTTTCTGAGCCTAAGTGTCCCAGCTGATTGCATTTGTGTATTAAAGAGCTTTATACAGTGAATTGGGTTTTTGTGGCAAACTTTTTGTAGCAGGGGGGGCTAAAAATTTCTATGAGAAGCTTCTAGAAGGTCCCCCTGTGTCCAAGACAGATCCATCATTGGCCAAGGTCAAACCCATCAATGATGGTGGCAATGCCTCTGGAATAATGTGCTTAGGAAGGGTGAAGCAGCTGTGCCCCTGCAGCCTGTGTGGTTCCACAGTGGAGCAGAGGAGGTCCCACGGAGGACCCCACTCTGGAGAAGGCAAATGCACCTGAAGGAGACTGTGACCCTGTGGGAAACCCGTGCTGGAGCAGGCTCTTGGCAGGACCTGTGGAGAGGGGACCTAAGGCTGGAAAAGGTTTGCTGGCAGAATTTGTGATCCTGTGGGGGACCCTCTTCAGAGCAGCCTGTTCTGGAAGGAAGGGATTCACGCTGTGTAAGGAATTGATGCTGGAGCAATTTGTGAAGAACTGCAGCCTGTGGGAAAGACTCACACTGAGAAGTCTGTGGAGGACTGTCTCCTGTGGAAGGGATCCCACACTGGAGCAAGGGAAGAGTATGAGGAATCCTTCCCCTGAGGAGGGAAGAGCGGAGAGACTATGTGTGATGAACTAACTACAACCCCCATTGCCTGTCCCCTTGTGTCAAGGTAGAGAAAATCATGAATGAAGATGAACCTGGGAAGAAGGAAAGGGTGAGGGAAAGGTGTTTTAAGTTTTGGATTGTACCTCTTACTATCCTCTAATTTGATTGGAAATAAAATAAACAAATTCTCCAAGTTCAGGCTGTTTTGCTCCTGATGGTAATCAGTGAGTGATGTTTATCTCAATCCACAAGCCTTTGGTCATATTTTCTCTACCTTGTCCATCCAAGGAACAGAGGGATAGAATGGCTTTGGTGAGCACCTGGTGACCAGCCCAGGTTCAACCCGACAAAATAATGACAAAATAATGTTAAAACAGACAGCTTACTATTATTTTAAATAAACAAATCAGCTGCTGGACAGCAGCAGGTAGCTCAGACAACTGAGTAACTATGGAATTTTAAGTTTATAAAATCATTTATGTTCCAGAGGGTCTCCAAACACTTGGAGAACATTTTGTTCATTACAGGAACTCCAAGGAAACCTTATATACCCTTCATAATTAGCAACAAAGAAAAAAGATCATAAGCAATTTCCGTGTGTTTTGTAAATATTGGCATGTTTAGTTCTAAATGGCTTTAGTTGCACAGCTGTAAATTTAGTAAATGCATCTTAATCATGAAATACATAATGAGTAAAACCACTTAATTAGTATATCTCCCTCAGAAATTATTTACCTAATGAGATGTAATTGCAGTGAATGCTGTTTAATTGGAACACAATTAGCATATATTCCACACCATGGTACTTACTCATTACCAAGGACATTCTGTGGTGGTTAACCAGGTGTTAAAATCACTGCAAAATTTTAACTTTCCACCAACTGATAACACAAATCGCCAAAAATGACAGTTTATGTGAACAGAATGCAATTTCTGTTACTGCATTTCTATTCAAATAGAGTATTTTCTGTCAGCTTTTTCCCTGTTTCTAAAATCAGACATTTAAAAACTGAATGCTAGGAAGTATTTGTAATTTCTTCCATTTCGGCAAACACTCTAAATTCCTACAAGCAATTACAGAACTTATTCACACAGTCATAAAAATTGCACATGCAAACGGAACTTGGGTCCCAAGTCTTCACAGATGATTATTCTCAAAATATCTTATAACCAAAAAAGCCATTTAATTTGGACTCCAGGATATCTAATTAGATTTCCCAACTACCAAAATAAAAATGTACCCCAAACCAGATGTAAATCTGAGGGAAAAAAAGAAAAAAGATTGGCAGGCATATTGCCTTTCCCTCTCTCTGCCTGCAGCTGCTCTATGATGAGCTGACAGCTGAGCAGTGCCACTGTTCATTTGAGGACTGTGACAGGAGACAAGGTGATGGGATCACCAGTTCACCCAGTAAGAGGGCAGAGGCAAACCAGGCAAACACAATCCTGAACTAACAGGGCACTCACTGACAGCTGGAGGTGACATGTTTCCTCATGAACCAGTAGTAGTTCAAAGATGCACTGCCTCCAAAATGCATTTTGAATTCACATTTATTCATTTAGAGACAGATTCTTAGCCCATTTCTATGTTTTTACCAGTGGAATAAATGCTCAAGAAACTGCACTGGATGAACTGCTGAGATGAACCCAAACTTGCTACTCTCTCTGCTACACTACATGGTGACCCCAAAATAGTTTTCCAACAGCTAAATAGACCTGTAAGAGCTCAAATGACCCTTATCTAGCACTGGGACCCATATGACTGTCTATGTCATGCAACGACTGCACTGTAAGCAGTCACTGGGGCCTCTTAAGGCAAAAATCCTCTCTCACATGGTCATGACACTGAAACTCACATGGTGTCTAGCACCAGGTTGCTCTGAGAACCACTGAGGTGCATATGGGCCACTACAACACTTCAGCTTATTACTGAACAGTGAGAACAAACAAGACAGCATGGAAAAACCTTGACATATGAATTCTAACTTCACCAAGTTACATGTTTTGACAGGGAGCATCAAGGACAAAGGATGGCATATTGCCTGATAGACCCTGCACAGGGCTATTTCACAACTAGAGCAGGCAGTACATCTGTGAGCACACAGAGCCATCCCCACTGCCCTAGTCTCACAAAGCTCTTCCTTCACTGTTCAAAAGTAAGGATAATAGGTCCATGGGATGTCAGCATCATACCTTCAGTGCTCCTCAGACCACCCTATCCACCTCATGAACAAACACCTGAAATTCACACCTATGGCACACTGTCCTTTCAGTGGTCCCAGCCAATACTACTGAGCATGCAGGCAGCCGCTCTCCTGTGAGATGGCTTCTTGGGGCCAAGGGCTGGCTTGCACTGCACCCTCTAGATGAAAGCAGGCAGAGAGGGATGAAAGGAGGCACAGGCTTGGCACTGCCATTGCATACAGAATCTCTGTCATCCATTTCATAAACACCACCATATGCCAGGAACAGAGCCAGATTTCCTAATTTAATTTGTGGCTGAAGCAGAAGTCCCCCAGCCTTGTCCAGGGACATCTTCTAAGTGCTCACATAGCAGTCAAGTGAGACTGCTGTAACAAATATGTCTGTAGGAAGGAGACAAAAGTTCCCTTTATCTTCAGAATAATTTGAATCATGTTCTCTCCTGGATCAAGATGTTCTGAATGCACATGGTAATTGTTCACTATATCTAGGATGGGCTTTGTCACAGAGGGAATTATGCACTTCACTCATAACAGAGAACCAACAATATACTTAACTGATATAAAACTGTGAGTTTACAAAGTCCAATGGTAAATGCAACAGTGGCTTAATGAGAAGGCATACTCAACTATTTACTATATAGAAAACAGGGTCAGACAAAACTCTTATTGAGAGCTCACAGCCTTATGTATGAGAAAAGACCACACCAGCAGTTACTGCACCTATATTTAAATATTTTAAGAAGCCAGATCTCACATTACTTCAGCTCTATACAAACAAAAACTGAGGGCTGACTCATGATGTTAAAAGCACTCCTTTGCCCATTGGGGTTGCTCTGTACCACTAGGAAGAACAGCTGCCTGGACAGATGGCCTCCAGATGATTACTTCAGGGCCCAGACTGGACTACATACTAAGACAGAAGACACTCTTTTCTGACCATTTCTACATGATGGCAAGACTCTAGAGTATCTTTGCTCACAGCCCCCACAAATGGGAAAATAAAATTTAATTCTGTCATGCATATTAAGAGCAAAATATTTTTCTGGCACAAGTTAGGGTATATCGTGTTTATATGTGTTTTGCCTCTTGAAAAGGTGGGAGTGCTGGGGTAGGTTTCCACATCTCCCCACTCTTGCTACAAAGTTCTGGTAAATTCGTAGCATAAATCAGCCTGGCCCTCACAGATAGGCCAAAAGCAGGTGGTTTGGGTTGAAACAAGTATTAGACATATTTTGCCAAATTCCTCGGGGATAGATACTATCTATTTATCTATTAATGTGCAATGTGCCATAGGGTGTAAATGGAACTACATTCAGGGTATGGGTATACATAAGATGCGTTCTACTGAGCTAGCCCTTTGGGATGACCTAACAGATCTGCATGAATGTAGATGTTAAAGCTGCAAATCCAAAGATTTTCTGCATCCCTTAAACCTTGAAGCCCATTACAACCACAACATCCAACAGACCTTACAGGTCCTTTATTTTCATGCAATCTACATTACCATGTGTTAAGTAGATAGCTTTTACTAGCAACTGATAACATTGAACAGATGAGAAGCATTATGTAAAAGCCCATCAAAGTACAAAAGAGGCACAGTAAAGAGGTAGTAAACATGTATTTGAATGATTACCATTGTTCTCTGTCTTTTGTGCAGTTTTCAGTATCCATAGCAGTCACACAAAGGATTAATGGCTTTAGCTCTTTTATATCCTGATGTTCATGTGTCTGGGATCTTCAGAGTGACTCTGCCTTCCCTTCTCCAATGACATCCTCCACAGAAATTAGTTTGGGTATCCTTTCTGATTTGCCACAAAAAACATATAAGAAATCTCAGACTGGGGAAAATTTCAGACATGTTTCTATTTCTGGACTGAAAGCTTTCCAAGAGTGCCTAGGAGCACGGTTCCTGGAGAATGAGGGGGGAAAAAATGGAAAATGGAGAGAAAGAGAACAAGTGCATTATACAACACTCATAATCTCATCCTACTGTGCTGTCTGCTTGCTTATCAGCAGCAAGTTTGTCAAGCAAGGAAAGTGCACATTAAGAAAATCTTGCTAAAATAACAACTTGATTTCGCATTTCAGCTCTCACAGGCAAGGAAAACGACAGCTACTGGTATTAACAGAGTAAAAGGCACACACAGCCATTTGCTCTTTGGAGATACTTGTAGTCAACAGGATTGCAACAGGATTGGCAAAGTTCTACAAAGAAAAAAAAACCCAAAAACAACTCCATTGATTTAGTACAAATCTCCCAATATCCAATATTTGCTTTAATAAGACCATAGCAGTATATCTGAAGTAATACATTCTCTTTCAATGGCTTTCCTGAAGAGAAAGTAACATAAACCACTTGAAGCAGGCAGAAATATTGGAGAATTTTGTGTTAAATGCAGATTTTGTTGGCTCCACAATGTGTAAGTAAAAGTCTGAGCACAACACTCAGAGTTGTTCTGCTGTGAGTTTTTTCATTCTTCTTGCAGTAATACTGATGCTTACAGAATTGCCAGCCTTGTTAGTATTTGACATACATGACTGAACCTCCTGACAGGAGGCAAGGTGCTAGAACAAAAATATTAGGAATGCTTACTCACTGAGTATCAGAAAACATTGATGTTACATATTGCAATATTCCAGAAATTCATTAAACAGTTTATCATGAACTCAGGTAGATGTTCTGTGGTTTTTAGGATTGGTTCATGAAATTTCATCCTTCAAAGTTATGATGTGGATTTGGGTTTCTAATGAAATTAAAAATATACAGATTTTGCCTCATTTGAGTCTATGATCTCAGCTGTATGAATCTGATGTGCTTTGGAGTACATTCTGTGTTTAAATGCAAAAAAAATTCTGTGTTTAAGGCAAAACAAAGGCCTAGTAAAAGAAGACTGCAATATACTGTGGTCTTACTAAAATATCATGATAGATGAGCAGAATTAAAAAAGAAAACAAACTAAAAGTAGGGTTACAGACCTTATATTACCTCAAATTACTATTTTCTCCTCAATATGTAGAAAAGCAGTTCTAGCTAGAAGCCTCCAAAACCAAGACAGTCATGTAAGTCATGTCTACATCACACCAAGCTTAGACAACAGTGAGTGAAAACCACACTGGCTTCAGGAGCTGATACAGGATAGCTGCTGCAGCACATTTTATTACACAAGCTGCAAGAGCCATTAGCTTGGGCACAGTGCCATGGTAACACATGAATAGGAACAAGGTTTTACATGCAATACATTATATGCTTTCAGGAACAAGGCACTATACTCAAACAGTGCTGTGCTGCACTTTGTGATCCTCATGCACATTTGAAATCTTTATACCTTTATACACAACAAAGGAGTTTGTTCCTAGGGGAAAAAAAAAAAGCCTAAAAAAAAAAACAAAACCAAGGTAGGCTTCAGATAGTTCACTGGATGTTTTTATTGGAAAATATTGTTTTGGAATAGATGGAACAATGTTTCACAAAGTTGCAATTATACATTACCCTGAGGAAAAGATGCTCTCATTTTCCATATCCATCCAAGATTTTGTTCTCTCATGGATTCAGTAAAGAAACTGTTGCAAAGAAAATACAAATCATTTTGGGAGATAAGACACACTTAAAAGTTAAAGCAAGCAGAAGGGGCAGTCAACTACCTGCTGAGCCATCTGAGTTTCAGAGATAAAAGCCAGTACTCAGCTAGGCTTTTTTCACAAAGCAGCACTGATCCCTCAGCATGCTCATTCTTAAAAAAAATCTGGTAGCAACAAGGATCTCAGCTTCCAACAGAAATGGAAGCAATATCAAGCAAAGGGAGCTCTAATAAGGGTCCATGAATTTCGGAATTTTTGTTAGATATGCATTAGCAAATGGAGGTTTACTCAGAAGGTGTATGAAGGAACATTCTCTTGTGCCTCCTGTGGTGTGTGTGTGGTAAGACACCGATGTAAGCGTAATTTGTTCTTTATGGCTCTAGAGCTTGCTGTCTTTGCAGTTCAAGAAAAGTAAATAAGTGTTACATATACATATGTGCATATACATGTGAATGTACATATACACATTTATAAACTGATGTACCTATGTAAATACATATATTAAAGGATTTAATACACGAACACAGTCCTGAAGATAGAAAGCTTCATGCCTGTAGTGTGCATACCTACATGTAACTCTTCATAGGAATATACTGTTCAGCTGGTTACGTTTCCAAATTTCAAGTCTGTGGACCTCTGTAAAAAATATATGTGCAAGTTTAAAAAATATTCCAGTGTCCTTTTTTATTTTAATTAAATGTAATTTGGAGGTAAAGTCTTTGCACAAGTGAAAGAAAAAGATCACCGTATGTCTCTCACTCTTTATATAGTAGATTCAATTTTCAAAGCTCATGGAAACTATATATACTTGTCTCTTTTATTTAATCAAATGTGAAGTATTTTCCACTACCTGTATAGCAGGACAAAATTTCAAAAATTCATATCAGTCATGGGTGATGTAAAACACAGCCCCAAAGAAGAAATGGATCTTCAATATGCAAAAATATTGATTTCTGTTATGAAGTTGTGTTGAAGAGCTAGAAATAAATTTTGAAATTATGATTTTGTTCAGTCGGAAAGCAGAACAACCTTCAGGTCTATTGGAGGACTTCAGAGCCCTCTCCTCCCAGGAATCTCCATAGGAGCCAAAGTATCTGCTACTAGTCACAGAAATGGAAAATGCTCCCATTACTAATTCACATTAGCGTACAACTGCCATAAGGAATCTGCCACTTCTCATACAGAATATGCAACGTAGGAAAGTATCAGATAGTGTGTGTAGATTTCAGTGGTTGACCACAAAGTTATACAGTTTTGTTTCATTATTCATTCACACTGTTACCAGTAACTGGGCTGATTACTCTCCCATTCTTCTTCTTGGTTAATTTTTAACATGATCCTAGAGAATAAGTATTGTGCAGTTCCATAGGCCGGTGGTTTCTGAAGAATGAGCATTGTACTAACCCAACAGGTGTTCAAACATTTCCTCATCTGACCAAAACACAACATGCCCCAGAGCCCAGAAAGGAATTTGAACCCCATTTGGGTTTAATCTAACCCTTCACAGACCTGAGATTCATCTCTGCTTAAAGCAAAATGGGAGTTTACAGTATATTCATATAGCCACTTTAATTGCTGCAGTGGTAAATTCTCAGCTTGCTGTCAAGGGACCAGAGGACTCCAGTGGAAGTCTGGGTGATTTCAAGAACAAAGGATGTCAACCATTCAGTACTTCAGCTTGTCAATAAGGCTGCTATATATGCTTTAAAAAAATGCAGACTAAAATTTATAATCAAATTTATACTCAAATTACTTCTTCCTATGGACATGTTTATCTAAAAGCAGCCTATCTGAAATGACCCAGTTTGTAACATTACATCACCGCAGCCCCACTGGAACACAGGCCAACATTGTGCCCTCTGGCAAAGAAGGCTAATGGAATCCTGGGCTGCATGAAGAGAAGAGTTGCCAGCAGGCTGTGGGGCAGGTAATCGTGCCCCTCCATTCAGCACCAGTGAAGCCACACTTGGAACGCTGTGCCCAGCTGTGGGATTATTAGCACAAGAGGAACACGGAGCTCCCGGAGAGAGTGCAGTAAACAGTCACTAAGATGATGAAGGAACTGGAATATGTCTCCTTTGAACGAAGACTGAGAGACCTGAGATTGTTCAAGCTGTAGAAGAAAAAGCTCACAGAAATCTCGATATTGCACATACTCCTGAGGGCACTAACAAGGCATTGCCTCTTTCGTGGTTCCCTGTGACAGAACCAGAGGCAATAGGCCCAAACTGAAAGACTGGAGCAGTGGGAAATGCTTTTTTACTGGGAAGGTGACAGAGCACTGGCAAAGATTGCCCAGAGATGTGTGGAGTCTCCATCCTTGAGACTTGAGCAGCATTGGAACAGGGAAGCTGAACCAGATGAACTCCTGAGGTTCCAGATGAACTCACTTCCAACCCCAGCCCCACCATGATTTTGTATTTTGTTCAGGGAAAATAGCAAAAGGAATCACATGAAACGTTTCAGTTGAGGGAAAAAATCAGAAGTAAATCTTAGGATTATTAAAAATAGCATCACACTTGTCAGAGTTCTCAGCATGCTGACTGGAAAGAGGCACAAAATTGCAATAATATTTTACCAGAAATGGCAATATAAATTGAGATGAAATTGTTATCCAGTTCTATTTCTCATACTATCTATGAGAAAAAATAGAACTAGTACATGGTACATAGGTGAGTAGAAAAGTCTGCTTCCTCTGCACTATTTATCATGCTGTTCTGTATGTTCTGTACCATGTTTCTGAACTATATTCACAAATTGTATATAGGTAAGGTCATACAGTCTAATGACCTATCAATACCACTTAGACCCAAATCACAGGATTCCTGAAAAAAAGACAGTTACAGAAGCTGTACTTGTTCATTTGACATTGCCACATGCTTCTGAACATTAGTTCTCTTAATAGAATGGCTATATCTTGATAGTTTTTGGTGGCTTCAAATAATTTCAATTAAATAAATTAATAAGAACCTCAGGATATGCCAAAGACAAAATATCCATAAATCTGTACTTGCTTACTGCAAAACATATAAAAATGGTCTGTGTCAACAATCTCATGACAATGCTATTATCTACTAGCCTTCAAAAGACAGAAATTCAACCAAAATGTAAGAGATATGAAGGAAACTGCAACTTGTTATTTCATTTCTAATAATTCAGTATTGTCAAATATCTTTCCTACCTGTCTGCATGCACCATACCGCCTTAAACCACAAAAATAGTAAATTTAAAAAGTCAACCTCTGACTTTTTGATCTGTCTCTTAGGATAAACACATAGGCTGCTTTGGAAATAAGGTCATAATTCAATTGGAGACTTCAAACATTTTCTGCAATTCAAACACAACAAGTGAAATTATGATGCCAAGAGGTTAAATTCCAGTTCTGTTTAGATAAATCTGGATCTCTCCAAAATAGCATCTGTCAAAATATTACAAGATACGTAAATTATAACACTGACAGAAAGAATCCATGAAAGAAAATCAGGAAGCTGTAAAGATAAAGTATAAAAAATGGAAACAGAGAATATGCAAGTAAACCTCAACTGATTTAAAAGAGGGGGGGGGGGGG